CGAAACTGAAATATATAAAGAACATTTTATAACCGGCAATCAACCAGAAACATTTGCAATCAAATAAAAATCGAATTTATATGGTTAAGTTTTGTGAAACATTATGTGTGAATTTAAATTTTAGATTTAAATTGAAATTAAAATTTTTCAGCCACCATAAATATTGGCATTGCGCAAACAACATGACTGCAATTTAAGCCAAACACATCAAGTTCGCCTATAAATTATTTTAAATCGATTCAATGCCTATTGTAATAGCGGGATGACCTTTTTAAAATATGCGATGAGCAGTTATTAATAGAAATTTAGTGGATATGCAAATTATCCAGTTGTTCGATCCGTCTGAAATGAACATTGCTTGTTTCCAAAAGGATTCTCAGATAACACATAACAGAGCCAGCTATTTAATATTCTCTGTCATTTCCTTTTACCCTTTTCCCACAATAAGGGATCGTTAGCAGACAATATTCTATCCGTATTCAATATTAGGATGTCAAATTAACACAGATGCCAATGGAATACTCAATAGCCTTTCACACACACTGTGGCTAGATGATGTTCTGAGGAAGATTCTTAATTACTTCAACCAGGTTTCGGGCCAATTTTATTGTCAGTAGAACTTCGAAATAAAGAAAAAAACGCTTTTGAGCGTGGCTCTATAGTGTCGTGTTAACAATCCTTCCATCAAACCTTATGTAAATAAAGCAAGGGATTAACCCCTTACTCTTTACACGCAAAAAGTGTCATAAGAGTTGACGCTTTACAATCTACTGGGAATGCATAGTCAGCTCTCTATTGCCCCTCATTTTTAATTAGTTTTGAATTCTTCATGAGAGCGAAATTATTAATTCGACACGGCAACCACTATTCGAATTTTCAGACACGTTAAGCTGGAATGTTAATGATACAAGGAGCTTTATTTAGCTCTTAATTAGTCATCAACAATCGAAAACTTGACAACTTTTATTTAACAAAAACTGATTTTCTATTTTTATTTTTTTACGTGGAATCAACAGAAGATTACTCTCCATATTAGTTGCGTTTCATTAAGTATTTAAACGAAAACAATTTGTCTTGTTACAGTTGTAAGCAAACATTATCATGTGGACGTATATCCGGCCAAAGTGTCGGTGGGAAATACTGCAATACTAACGTGCGTTATACCTGAAGAGGTCAAGGAACACGTCACGGTTACTTCGTGGTCGAGGGACGACACAATCCTTTTGCCCGGATTCAACATGGGTAAGCACAATCTTAATTTGATATGCTTACTAACTATTTCGGTACATCGCTTTAATGGTGCTGAATAATTGCAGACAAAACATAGACCAGCGTCCTTTAATTAATCTAGTTTTACACGAGCTCCTTTCTGTTAGAGCCTCACTAGAGGAGAGCCGATATTAATTAAGCTGTAAAATATTCGGGTTACCATCATATTGTCAATATACAATAAGACAAAACGATACAAATTATAGTGTATTAATATAAATTAGGAGTGCTTTGAAATTTTTAAGTAGACACCACTCTAAAAGTTCCCCAAGTCGCATTTTCATATTGTAATAGTAACAGTAATAAAATTTAAATACTGGTGCAATATATCAAGTAGAATTTTTCTTAATCATGGCCCAGGAAATTATTACGCGTTGTCCTCTCCATCTCTTTAACGGGCCAAACACGTAAACTGCCGTATTTTCGCCATTACATGTGCAATACAGCAGTTTCAGTCAGCACTACAAGATTTACACCCTATTTTTCCAAATTAATGGAAATCGATCGCTCTCCGGTTAATTTTCAATTGTTACGAGCATGTCTCGCATTACAATGGACCAAATAGACTGACGAATAGCTGGCAAATAATACGCCACATGTTTATGAAGGAATTTAAAATGACTCAATGTGCTCGCTGTTGCAGTTTAAAATAAATTCTTTCGTTTTTTGGAAATATCTACGCTTTCAACCTAATTAAAATGGCATTTTTAGATGCTCATAATTTTTACAGATATGACACACATTTATTTATATTGGCTCTTTTAGTAGAAATGACGCGAAACACTATACCAGTGTTACTGATGTTGGCACAAAAACTCAGAATAAATTAACTCGCGTCAGTCCCAATTTCTAATTTTCAGACAATTTATAAAAATATGAAAAAAAATTTTTTTTATTAGTTTACCAGACTTTCAATTAACCATTGCGCATAGTTCCAAGAAAACCTGACTCAATTCATTGTCTAATTTCATTCAGAACGATTTTTTTCTAAATTCTTGAAACCTGAAAAAAACTGAACGGATTGAGAGCCAATTTGTTTTTGTTCGCGAATAGTTTGAACCGAACTCGTAGCATCAAAGTTAAACTTGTAGAATGCCAAAATTAGTTTAGCTGAAAACTTATCAACAGTAAACGCAAGTTCAAAGTTTTCCGCTCTGTACCTTGAAAGCTTATTATTCATTAGGATTTAAGTAATACCAGGAAAACATTATTAGTTCCAGGTTTGCAACTTTCTCTCGACTGGTATCTAGTAGTGGTTTTTTAATTAATCATTATCACTTTTATCATTACTGTACGTAATCAAACGAAAATGGCTCATTTAAATTGGAAGCTTCTCAAAAAGGAAACAAAATTATTTTGCTTGCTCGAAAATAAATTACTCAAAAACGAAACAACACGAAAATTCCATAGATGAAATATTAGGACATTCCAAGTATTGGCTCCAAATATCAACCTCAGTGCGTTCCACGTTAGTGTTCCCTTCGATAAATGTAACTTTATTTCTTTTAGAAACTTTAGTTGGAAGTAAATATCTGTTGTTTGCTTGGTAAATAAGACTTGATGACATATAAGGCGATCTTGAGTTAAAATTGAGATATTCTTCGATTCTAAAAAAAATTTGAATTTCATTTAAATAAATATTGTAGCCTGAGGTTGATTCAATATAATTTTTTTTTTATCTTTGATATGAAAAATGATTTAGTGTTCAATATAGTATTCAATATAAATTTCGTCATAAGAAAAAATTGAATTCACTTCAAGAACTTGTCCATTTATTACTTTTCTTTTGCAAAAAAACCTGATATTTAGGAAATAAGTCTCCGTTGCAATTCTTTTTGCCTAATTGCTGATTTATCTGAATAATGTGGCCCAAGCTGTTTCATTCCTCCGCTTTTTATTAGGAATTAATAAAGAGTGCTTTTTCCTGAAAATGAGAATTTGTTGGAAAACGCCCAACTTTTCATTTGAAACTAATTAACATTACATTCCAAGGAATGTATAAATAGCTGTGGAAATCTGATAACTTGCCTAATAGGGTGCGATAAGCGAAATGCGGATTCAGCAATATCGAATCCAGATATATCAGCTTAATTAACAATAATATAGGTGTAGTCCTAATATTGTGGTGCATGTTATCCATTAAGATAGGTGATCATTATAACAGCTTTGCTATATTAGTCCTAAATTTATAATTTATACGTATGTCGTCATTCCAAATTACAAGCTTCCGTATTACTAATAACTGATACGATTGCCTGTGAAAGGCCCTTAGGTTGAACTGTTAAAATTGAATAAATTTAAATAGCCGCTGAATTATTTTCATATCGCGATATTCTGGCCAAATCTGCCAATGCAACTCTCCAAGCGCTTGGTGCCTCGTACTCCTTTCCGAATATGTGAACTGAATTTTAATATCCTGAGAGCCAGCAATCTGCTCTAACAAATCATTAAGCATGATCGTAAATAGTCTTGCTACATTTGGTTGTCGATATTTGTTAGTTTGTCGTTTAATCCGAACGCCCTCAGTCCATTAAAATACACACTGTAACCGTCCACAAGTAAACCGACTGTAATAATCAAGACTCCCAAAGGAAAGAGCAAATTCACAAAGAAATACTTTTTGTTTTAGGAGGCAGATTTGTTGTAACTTACGGAACGGGGAAGCTTTTGATCAGATCGACCCGGTTTGACGACAGCCTACCCGTGTATTCATGCCTCACCATCCATGCGCTTACTCAGGAAAGAAAAAGGTCACAACCTGCAAAACTTGCTGTTGTGGGTGAGTACACAACAAATTTGCTATAGAAATTAGCTTAGTTGAAAGCGTTGACAACACCGAGCGAACTAGATTTTTAGCGTTTCTTCGAAAAAGTCCTTTTTGAGTTTCTTTTAAATGTCGCAAAGTAAGCGGAGAATCATAAATTCAGACTGGGAACAGAAAATTTACTGGATGTTCAAGTAAGAAAAGCAGGAGCTGGTTTAAAAGAACGTACTATACTAATTAAGTTTAAGATTTTACGGCAAGGAGAGCAATAACTAACAAATATTGCTGCAATTTCTCCTAGACGGTTTATGGCAACGATTGCTTTCCAGAAGTTCTGGCTTTTACGCTTTTCATTACATCGACCTCTTGGTTCGGAAGGAAGCATTTTTTAAACATTTCACGTTTAAAATGCAGTAATACAATCCCAGAATTAGTGAAGTTGGAAATTAAAAAAGAAGCAATTTGTTTAAGCACAGTCCATGAACAACGCGCTTTTCAAAGGTACAATTCGCTAACTCTATTATTTTGTTCATCTAATTGGCAAATTCACACGTGGAATTATTCCTCACGTATTCGAAATGAAGTCCATACCAATCTACAAACACAATCATATTTTCGGGAAGCGTCCCTATAAATACATAATCCCACTCCCAGAATATCTCTTGGGATATTTGCCAGCTTTACAATTCTCCATTCGTTTAAAAACAACAATCATATATTTTCGAGGCCATTATAATGTGTTTTCTAATTCATTTAAAACTGATTTTTTTGGAAAGCTTTGGCAACTAATCAATACGTGACATTAAAGCTGAAAGGTCCAAATTATACGGGAAAAATGGGTTCTGGAAAACAATAAAAAGCTTAAAATTTCTTGGATTCGTCGAGTTTGACTCGCAGCAAAGCTCAACAGGTAAAATTAATCGCATTAGAAGATTTTAACGTTCATTACATTAATTGTTACTTTGCTGCTCTGGAGTTGAGCGGTATGTTTAATTAGAGTATTTTTCTTTTTGGGGTAACTCCTATTTTCAGACGTTGAAACTAATGAATCGAATTCGATTTATTCAGCTTTTTGCTCTAAACATCCACTAGTCACGTCAGAAAATTCCCATTTCTTCATTTATTTTTGATGAAGAATTTTCAATTATTTTGTAAACAAATCATAATTGAAGGTGTATCCAATGCCATTATATTGCGTTTTTAATAAAAATGCCATTTGCTCTTCTGAGAAATGGCTGGAACGTTCAGTGACTACAAAACACCCTTTTCCACCCTGACAGACATAATTAACAATAATAAAACCAGGAATTTAGCTTCCAAGCAGGAAGGTAATAATAGATTCATGAAAGTGAACATTTTAGAACAAAATTAATTTTACATGTTGCGTTTTGAGACTGGAAGTGGGTAATTGCATTTTGAACCTTTACGTTTCTGATTTTTGTATTGCTATTGATCTAAATGAGCTAAGGACATTACCCACAGTACTAGAAAAAGTGGCTTATATCTTCCACCTAGCCTGAAGCCATTTCAAACGCATTTTTTCAAAGCTTTCAAATTTTGTCTAGCAACTAATTGGTCGAAATGCGTTAAGAAAACTAATTACAGTCAAAAAAATTAACGCATTTCTTCTCGAGTTCCACTTACTGACGGAAAACTTATATTTGAAGCATCTGTATAATTTATGTATAAGTTACCGAAGAAATATAACTATAGAATGAAAAAATGGCATTTAATGAAGAACTGTTCATTTCAGAACCGAGTCAAAATGAACCCCCTCGACTTATTCCAGTTGAGTTCTCCTCTTTCATAGCGTATGAGGAGACGGATATTCACCTCACTTGCACAGCCCAAGGAAATCCTCCTCCTAACTATGGGTAAGATTTGACTTACTCAATAATTGTCCTTCTCTCCGTTTGACTCGGCATTTTGATATTTTCAGATGGTTCCGAGATGTTAGAGGCAACCTGCAACCGTTAGTGATTTCGTCTAGAGTTCAACCTTCACAGGACGTTTTAGAGATCCGAAATTTGATGGCTGAAGACTCTGGGAGGTGGACTTGCAAGGTGTTTAACTCTTTTGGAGAGCAGCGAGTTGATATTCACCTGAATGTTGTTGCGCATCTTACTGTGCATATTTTGCCTCAACTCCAGGTAGGCATTAGTTTTACTGCGAAAAATTCAATTGAAAGCGCAAATTTTTAACTCGTGATTACAGGAAGAATTAAGTAAGAACTAACAGCCTGAGCTTGGAAAATTTTAATTCTATAGCTTCTCGGCCGATGTGGATTGAAACTTATTGAGTGCTTCGCACTTGGATTGAATATGACGCGATTACAGCCGACGCCTAAATGAGTCTTGATGAGTTAAAATCGGGAGGAAAATCCACTTTCGTCTCTAATTTGTCTGATTCAATTTCAATTTTATTCGCGCTTGTATTATATATTATTTTGCCTTTTTAATCGATATTGGTATTCATAATACTTATGTAATTAAGAAAGCTAGACTAAACTCAGCAGGTTGATAATCAATCTAAAACTTAATAAGTTTTAATTTCCTTTTTCTCAAGATCGAGAGTTCCACCCCAATCTATTCCGGCCATAAAGAATGACTAATGATTGACTGTAGAAACATCTCGTGCCGTTGGAACGATTTGTTCGAGACATAATCGTAATAACATCGTTACAGAACCAACCCGTGTTACGAAGAAAAATAATTTGCAAACATAGCTTGCTTTAGTGGCAAATGATAACTAGATTGAGCGTTTCATACGTAAACTCCTTGTGCAAATTGTCACATAATATTCCTCTAAATTCCCACTAACGTGAAATTGAATATTATCCAAAAGGTTATCATGAACTTGGAGGAATAAACGGTTTTCATTTGGCAGCGCGTTGAGCCGTCTCTCGGGATATAAACGACTCGGTTTAGTGTTTTTATTTTGGAGTTAGCTATATTATCTCCATAACATCGCTTTGCCATGTGATATTCCCTTAGTACAGAAATGGGAACGGGATATTGTCTCCTAAATGCTTGCCCCTAATAATAATTTTATTGACACAAGTTTCAGTGGAAATTCTCTCACATACCATTCGCTATCTGACTTCGACACATTTGGCAAAGCGTTTGTTATTTTTTTATGTAAATTTTTATGTTTCACTTTAAACATAACATCTTTGTGGGAAAGTAAAGTTGCACTGAGAGACCAATTTGGAAATGGTTCCTTAAGGAATTTAAAACATCTAATTCCAATTCCAAATTTTAACAATTCAATTTTAATATCAGAAGGCTGAATTAGTCAGTGGCGATTTGAAACATAAATGATGCAGTGTTTGCCCTGCCATTTATTTTGGCCTTTCCTAAAGGAGATATTTAAAGCGGTTCTTCCCTTGTTACTTATACAAAATTTATATGCAAAGGGTCCTAAATACTTTCTCGCGTATTTTAATATTCGAAGTTTATAAATCCTTGGAACGTAACAGGTGTTTAATCATTTGTTTGCGCTTGACATAATCATAATTTAGTGCGGAGATTACAAAATTCAAAAAATCCTAAAACTCAATTTATTGGCACTTGTGTCGAATTATATCAGAAGTTAAGATTTAACCACCTAATTAAATATTTTTTAGGAACAGTATCCAACAGCGATTTTATCAACGGGTTTTCTCAGTGGTGAAAAGTCTCTCCGTTTTTTCTGTAAAATTAAGTCCAATTTTAATTGGTAAATCACAAAACAAACTGTGAAAGTAAATTTTGAAAATTAGTCCAAAAATAACTGCAAGTTAATTATAATTCACTGTTGCCTGGTCTGTAAGTGGTATGATAATTAAATGAATTGCCAAACAGCATTAGATAATTAACATGACAACAAGTTCCATTCGTGAATCTCTCATCTAGGAACAAAATTTAATTTGAAATGTTATCAACTCGGGGATGAAGCAATTTTCAGCTCGTCTATGACAGGATACCCTATGGGACGCTTGGTCGCTTGATTAAGGGCCAGAGAAGGCCTTTTTTTGTTTTTATTTTGTCGCTGTGTTATTCCCATATTATAGCCACTCATTTTGCCAAATAACTGCGAGACCAGGAAATGCTTTTTTTATTTACCGAGTAAATACAAATACGCGAAAATATTATAATAGGCCGTTTTATTGAAACGAACGGTTAACACGTATGCGATTAAATGCGCAAATAATTTACTAATCAAAAATATAACTCCCATTTTAACTGCAATTTTCAGCGTCGAATCAATGAAACATATTAATTCCCATTATTTTAATTTGTTTGTCAGTCAGTGCGAGTTGAAAATTGGATTTAACGTATCTTTTTAGGGAGGAAATATGAAACTATCTGAAGGCTGAAAAGACATCATTCTAGACAGTGCAATCGATCAAGCTGTCTCGTTCGAGTTCTGCGTTGATCATATATGCACGAAATTGAATTTTGCATATTATGCTTTTCTGAACCTGAAAAATGCATTAAACGTGGATGGTCGTCTCCCTGTCTGTGTATTCTTTACTGCCTTAGAATTTCTTTGTTTATAATTCGGAGTTGCACAGCTTTAACAAAGCTTGGCTTTTAAATATTCTTGTCTAAATTTAATAAAACATTTTTTGCTTCGCAGTCCTAACAGAATAACTTTCAGGCATCCGAAATTGAATTAATTGAGGACATGTTTGCAAACGAAACGTTACCAAATGATCGAAGGAAGTAATTAATTCTTCAAAAATTCGCACCAGATTTCCCAAAGTTAACTATTTTCATCTGAAATATTAAGTTTTCGACGAACAATAGTTTTGCAATTTGCGGCATCTTCCAGTGGGAAATTAAATTTAATTTGCCTGTTATCAACCGGCACAGAGACATTGCAATTTTCAAGTCTAACATTTAGAAATTGCCAACTCTATCGGTTACAATATTGAAACCCGGAAATTTGAACGAATTTGCCTTTGACGGAAGTTCTATTTACTGTTATGACGACGGTAGCTTAAGACGGACACTATTTTTTTCAGATTGCCAACTCTGGACAAAATGTAATTTTCAACTGCACAGTTGTTGGCACGCCCATTGGGCGCATACAGTGGGTGAAAAATGGTGAACCCATCGTGCCAGATGATCATGGAAAATTCAAACTTCTAGACCCATTAGTGCTTCAGGTTGCTGATGTGACTAGGCATGATAAAGGCATGTATCAATGTATGGTGGAAAATGACAAGGAAAACGCTCAAGGAAGTGCTGAACTGAGGTTAGGAGGTAAGTACAGAACAACCAGCCGCAAAAAGTTAAAAACATATCATAAGTACCATTCTACCCGCCTATAATCACCATGTATATTGTGGTCATTGTAAACCCATTTAAAGGCAACACCAAAAGTGTGACAAGAAAACTTTTGAAAAGCAGGAAAAAACGTATGTTAAACAACAACAGCAACAAAAAATTTTGCTAACACCATTGAGTTTATCCAGTTAAAAGAAATGTTAAACTAGTTCAAACAATTAAAACGAAACCGCTTTGGTATAATGAAAGATCTTTTAACTTTCATAAGTTCTAAACCAAAACTTAGCTGGACTTTATTGAAGACAAAAGCGCGTCTAGATTCCATCAACAGAACAATATACGATTCAGGGCAATGAATGACTAAGCTTTATCCCGGTTTATCCGTATATTGCTTGTATTGTATTCTTCGCGATTATTGGATACAGATCTTGCTAGGACGTATTCAATCAAGCCAACCATACGAAACTGGCAAGGCAACAGACAGGAATATATGCTTAAATAGAGAAACTTAATCTAAAAGGGATTTCTATGAGTCAGTTGATTGGGGTAGTCACATTATAGATTTGCCATAAATGAGAGAACGTTGCTCATGAAACACAAAAGCAATGAGAGAAACAACATCTGTCTCAACTCAGGTTGAACGATATTTGGATGTTTAGGGTGGGTAAGAAATACGATGGAATTTCCTATATGAAAACAAGTTTCCAGTAGAGTCGCTTGAATGAAAGCTCAATAAGCTTCCACACATATAGTTAATTTTTTTGCTTTAAAAAAGCAGTCTTCAGAATTTCATTTTCGCTTCGAAAAATAGGAACTACACGAAAAGAAAATGAGAACGAGCTTTAAATGGATGTCAAACATATGTATTTATTGTCTGTCTTTCACAAAATTAATAACAGAAATGAACTTGTATTCAGCACTTAACGGGACTCGACAGTAAAGGGAAAAACCCCAACGGAAATGAGTTCCAACTTCCGTCAACAATAAATCACGTGGACCAAGTTTCCTCTCTTTTCTCATAAAATAATTTAATACTCGAATAACACCGATCCTGGGTGAGAGAAATCCTTAGAAGATTTTCGTCTGCCAAGAGAATTAAAAAGGAATATCATTAAAAGTTAGCGAAACAGATATGATAAATTACTTCATTAAAATATACTTCGAATTATTCATCACTGTTGCGATTGTGAATAAGCTCTTAGGTCAACCAAAATTTGCACTTTAAATTGAATCGTTTATTCTAGCTGTAAAACGTATTTCGTGTATCCATCCTGCAAATTGAGGCGCATTTAGATATTTTATTAATTGACTCGCGCCCAATAAAAGCAAATTATTCTATTGAGCTAAAAAAAACATAAGTAAACAACTTCCTTTTTTCAAATTCAAAAAAGTTGTGTTAAAGCATCAGATAATTAGGATTTATGCGGCAAAAGCGAATAAGCCCGGGAAAATAATTAGTTAGATAATCGAGTTTACCCGGAAAATTTTGGTTTGGAAGTAAAGAAAGCGATAAGAAATAAAAAATGAAATTTTACAACATGGAGTGTCTTTAAAATTCATTGGTGAAAAACATTTGGCAAATAGCCTTAGCACGTTCAGTCTAATTATCGTGAGAGGTTCTAAACCATTTTCCGAAAAACAAAATCACTTTAGTTAACCAAACAAATAAATATGTATGGGCTCTTTTATCTGGCAGACGTATTTTTATTTGGTCCCGTGAAATGTTAGGGTTCAAGATAGGGCTTAAAGACCCTTTAATTCTTAAAGTGTCTAGGCTTCCACATTATCGGCTTCAATCGTGATAAATAACGAAATTCACATTGTAAAATTGAATTGCCGGCACTTTCAAAGATTCTAAAGAGAAAAAGTTGATTATTTGCAAAACCTGCTTTATCTATAATAAAAACACCAGAAATAATTCACGATGTCGTTTAACAAACTGTACAGTTACGAGAAAGTCAAGCAAATGCGCGATGTTATGAATCTTTGAATTCGCGTTTTAACTAAAAGTTGATATTATTTAAGTTTAACAGACAAAAAGAATTTTATTGAAATTTATGCGGCATTTAAGTGGAACTCAATTTTACCATCTGGACAGTGCTGGGTTTATGTCGACTAACTATAATTTTTCTAATTTCAAAGACACAACAAAAGACCGAATTTCTACTCTGTGCCCCCCCCCCCCTGACTTGAAAGCTGAATCCGTCCCTGCATCTGGGACCATTTTGCAGAATCTGATGATGAATTTTTTTTTCAGATACTAGACCGGAAATGCATACGAATTTTGTTCAGCAAGCAGTACAACCAGGAGTTCAAGTCTCATTGCGATGTTCTGCTATTGGATTTCCTCCTCCTCAGTTCAAGTGGCTCCTCGATGGACAACCATTTGCCGATCTCAAGCCAGATCACAGGTAATATCAAATTAAATAGAAAAGCGATAAAATATCCAATAAAAATGCTAGAAGTTTACACATAGTTTGTGGAAATACGTTTAAAAAACAAAATATAACTGAAGTTAATCCCCGAATTATTTTGCAAACTTAAGCAGACAAAAACTTCAAATATTGGCAGTATGTTAATTTAGAACAGAGCTTACAGAGCATTAAATTGATTTATTCATGAAAATTACCTATTTTGTTGCTGGATTTGAACTAATTGCGGTTTCAGTTATATTTGTCAGAGGAATTGAATCAAGTTTGTCCTCTAAAAAAACAATACAAATCATTCAATTAATCAATTATATAGTATTCAGAGCCAACCACGTGAAAAAAACCCGAAATGTGGGGAGTATTTTGCCAAAACCATTTTAATTCTGTACTTAAAATTTTCAAAAACTTGCACCCTGCTAATGAAGACTAATAAATCCGAAACCGGTACTAGAACTGCTACCGGTACTGCTGGCTTGTGACCTAACCAAGGCATTTGTGATCAAATGTGTCAAAAAAACTATTTTCAAATCACTGGTTCCCTATTTTTATACTTTCTGGCGGAATTAATTTTGCTTAAAGTATTTTTGAAGATTCCACTATACTAATTGATAATTTCGAGGACATTGAATTTATTTGACTGCATTTTGATAATCAGGTTTTCTGTTTGTTGCATTTTTTATGCGTGATGGTCAAAGCTACACAGACGTTTATTTAAAACTTGCACATATTTTTCAATAAATGCAATAATACTCACCGCAAAATCGGTATAGGACTTTGCTAATGAACGCCGCTAAATTCTACTGATGATAAATCTCGCAAAATCGACTATGTATTTGAATATTTTATATTCAACTTTGGCGCAAATTTATTATATTACTGAAAGTAACGTAAAAGGCTTTTGTCATGTTTCTTTAAAAATGTTACGATTTCAAACTGCGTTGCGCTTGAAGATTAAAGGCCCTGATAGATTTCCCTCAACTCTCCTACTTGACAAAATCAAGGCTTTGTTGAGGATTTCAGGTTGAATACAAGCTTTCTGTTGCTTAATCCATTAAGATAAAGTATAGCATTATATTTCAGGATATTCAGACTAATACCTTAAGGATTTCCGTAAACCGTCGATATTTTTTGCCGATTTGAATACTTTATCCCTTAAAAGCCAGAAGAAAGAGACAAAAACACGTATTTTCCTATCTGGAACGGCTAAGCGCATCATTTTCGATTTAAGTTGCTACTGTAGTAATATATCCCATGAAAATCAACTTAATTTTGTTTTCATTATTCAAGTTAAAAAATGTCAATGAGGGTGCGGTTTTATTGCAAAAAGAAATCGTGAAAGAACCAGATTTAGAGCGTCTAAAGCTGCCACTGTTCATAAACAGTAATTTAAAGCGCCGCAAACGTGTGAGGCTGTTTAATGTCAGATAAAGTTAAACTCGGTTAGGGAAGTAGTTTCACTGAGAGTGTCGACTACATAAAATGGTTTTGTGAGTAAATTTCGTTATAATGCGCGAATTTTCTAAGACATTTAATGGCACCTGTGGTCAGTCCCCGAAAATGAACTGAAACCTTCTGGTGCAGTGAAAACAAGCAATAAATTTGTGACTCTGCTGGTGGAAACTAACAAATTAGATGGTTTAAGAGTGACATATAAAATATGCTGCAGCCGATTCAGGTTGACAACGTTATGGTTGAATGGAAAATCATTAAATATTCAAATATTAATTATCGGACAACATTTGGCAAAGTGAACCTCAAATGGTTAATTAATTTTCTACCCCAGCTCAAGCAATATTCGCTTGTGCTTTACTAATCATAATGTTGCATTTATCCAAATAGTATGTGTGATTCTTCTAATTTAGTGAACTAATGAAATATACGATTGTTATTTAATTGCGTTGGTTGTAAATTGGATGTGCAATTTGCCCATAGCTAATTAAGGAATATAAATATTGGAAAATTAAATTCAAACCGATTTTAATTGTGCAAATATTAATATGCAAAACAAATCAGAAACAGCACGTAGTTATGAACAAACAGATAATTTTTGCATTCAAAGCGCAGTTATTTACTTTCATACATAAAGGTATCACAGTGGTGTTATTTAGATTTATTTATTCGATGATTGAGAGTTGTGCTGCTCATTCAGCGCTTCATGTAGGTAGAACGGGAGGCCTTTTTATTTAGTTTGCTATTGTATACAAGTCACTCTTAAAATTTCCGCCATTCTGGGTTAACCCCACAATCCTAGAAACGAAAGCTTTTACGTCGAAAGAGTCAATTGAAAGGCTAGCTTTTGTGTTTGGACCGCGTTAAATTGGATTTAGTTTCCACGATTCGCCAAGGGAAACCCTCGGGGATAGAGTGATCTTTACTTTTTCCTAGTTCAGCTCGCTCCTCATTTTAAATTAAATAATAATCTAGTTCGGAACAACAGCTATTTTTCATTACCAGAAAATGGACAGATGGAAATAATGGTTTCTGCTAATGGTTTGATCTGCAACTCAATCGTCACAAAACTGTTAAAGTTTCAAGCTCAAGACACTCGATAGTAAAGGGATTTAAGGAAAATCACGTTGAAATAAACGTAAATGATGATAACCAAAGGCAAAATTAGAACTGGAGTTTCAGTTTGACCAGCAAGGCATTTGAAGGATTACATACAACAACAATCGAAACCGGAAAATTCAGTTTCGACGTGGTATTTTAAGTCTGAGAATAGGAAGCCGGCAAAAACCTGCAGCAAGTTGTATCAGTTTCTTTCTGAAACTTTTCAATTTTCTTTCATTTTTTTAACTTTTATTTATCAAATAACACTCCTGAAACTTGTATGCAGAGGCACATTCAAAATCAACAAAGCTTTAATGACACATGCATTTTACATTCAATAATGCATTTTACTTTTCTTTAAACGCAAATCTTACCTAAGCACAAAATTACTTTATGTGAATATGGCCCATATTATATGACTGATATGTTCAATATAGTACTAACCGCTATTGGGAGCGTTTGAGAATGTTATTTTTAAGTTACTTAATTTACATTTTTCAACTTAGAACTATATTCTATAAAATATTACCTAAAACACTAATATTATTTTTACTGACCTTATTTCAATTTGTGTTCTAGATATCTATATCATAATGAAATAAATATTGCTATTATTATTATTTTTAATTAATTTGCTGCGATGCTCATGATGTTATGTTCATACTAAAATGTGTGCCTGAGATTAACACATCTCGAAATCTATGCATACTAGTTTGGCATTCAGTTTTCATATATTTCATATTTTCATATTTAACTTGCCAAGGGAAATATTGTTAGGATAACACGAGTTATTTGCAAATGTACGTTAATGATTCTTCCAGCAAAGTTGAAAAAACGTGATGGAATGAACAAAACACGTAATTGATTTCTTTGGGGCAATAGAAAAAGAGTATACAGGTTTTCCCTGGAGAGAAGGCAGCGACATTTTAATTTAATTGCGAAAGTTAGAGTTCGTTTAAAGAACTGTGTACGTTACTGCTACTAACTTTCTTATTCGTTATTTGTGATGAAATTCATCGACTACGCATCGATACTACGATAGAAAACTTAGGAATTTTTTTCCAGCTCACCCATGCCCAACTGCTCGAAATAGTACGTTTTATGTCGAGAATTCAACTTATAATTGGAGTTTTCTAGAAACTTGCATAAATCTTAATAGTGTTGATGTTAATCCCTGGACTTTCCCGTTGAAAGGATCCAGTATTTATGTAGCTAAAAATAGGAATTTGGATCTAAAACTTCTTGAATTAACTATCCCAATGTGAAGTTTCTTTACCAAGTTATGTTTGTTATTTTTCAGGTACGCCATTAGTCAATACATGGACTATACTGGAGACGTTATTGCACATCTGAATATAACAAGTGTTCGGGTGGAAGATGGAGGTTTATATACCTGCCGGGCCTCAAATAAAATGGGATTTGTTGAACATTCCGCTCGATTAAATGTCTATGGTAAGTAAGAAATTTGAAACAATGTAATTCTCGAATTTATTATTTCTTGCAAATGTTCTGCGCTTGGGAAAATTCTGCAGCTTCAGCCAGCTCAATTTAACTACTAAACTAGATAATTTTATAATTTCGCTCTTGAGAAGCTACACTCAAAATCACTGGCAATAATTTATAAATAAAACGTTGCTCAGTTGTAACTTAAAACAATTAAAACTGATTCAGTTCTTTAGAGGTCATAAATCGAAAAAAAAGTTATATTATAAATTAAAATGTAGTTAATTGAAGAGCATTTCTGGAATATGTTGCTTTTTGCTTAAAAATGCAGCTAATTATTTGGAGTTAGCTAGTAGACTTTCTAAAGGCGCATTACCGTCCTTTATTCCGTTTATTTTTGTCCCTGGGGTTTTCAAAATGATGGTAATCATTAATCTATTTAGAAGCAGCGCTTTTATTCGAAGGACATTGTTCGACTTACCTATCTCTGAGGTTTCCAGTTTACACTGAAATCGCTTGACTGTAGGTTTTATTATTTCCCAAAGCACAACATTTGTGGTTTGTAAACAATTTAATTGCACCTTCAATAATTAATTTTCTTCCATTGGGAACTGGCATAATTAATGTTCATTCATGCTTCGTCTTCCCATTCAGTATTTACTATGTTGAAAACTGAAATTTGGATTTAGGATAGTTCACCCAAAAAGCATGAAGAATGAATGAATTAATTATTATCAAAAATAAATCGTTGAGCTAAAAACGACTATAGAATTTCTAGTTGAAGCTCAACTTCACGAGGCATTAATTTTCAATTTTCCGGAATATATTTATCTGAGCAAAATCCATTGGTTTCTAACTGAAGAGTAAACTTTTCTCACGTAAAACCTGACATATGGATGATTCGAAAATAAGTGACTGGAGAACAGCTTGTAGAATTGAAGCCTTTGTAGCGTTTAAAAAGAGCGTTTTGTTGGTCGTATACGCCTCCCAAGCTCGCTCTTAGCTTTGGAAAAAAACGTTCAAATAGGTGTTAAATATATTGTAAGTACCTGACAATAATTCCTTTTTTTCGCTGGCAAGCAAGTCGCTACCAATAACAAAACGCTAATTTTTTCTAGTTTCTATAATAAAAGATCTCGGATAGAGCACATACTTTTAAGCTTTCGTGTATAAATTATTGTTAAAGGCTCTTCCCGCGACTTACCAAGTTCAAAACGCATATTGTATGAAATCAGCATTCTAAAAAGTGGATGTCCACAGCCTTGAAAATCCCTAACGATCAGCTTCAAGACGCCTTTGAAGTTTAAGGATTTTATTCCTTTATTCCAAATATTTGTATACCGGTCATTGCTTTTTTTCGTAGGTCTGTGCAAAATTGACCCTTTGCCGCATTAAAATTGATCGTAAAAAAACTCGGGAAAAAATTTACATAAAAATGACAAAAGGGGGAACGAATGTTTCCTTCAAATCATGCTAATCCTACTGTAAGTTTATAATGAAAGTTCTGCATAAAATTATGTCTCTTTTATTGGCTGGACGCTATTCAATTACTCGCAACAATTTACTTTAGTTGTAAAAATCTTGAGCAGTTAAGAATAGTTCTATAGTTCGTCTGTGTTTTTTGCACATGTTTATCGGGTTTTAAACGGCGTGTTTGTATCTGCATCATCAATATCCAGTATTCAGCACTTAAAGAATCGTCTCGTATATCAAAGAGCATTCGGTGAGTGGTGTTGAATAAAACATATTGAGCACATTCTACTAAAATTTTACGGCGCCTCTTCACCACAATAATCAGTCAGCCGTTTTTACACACCCCGTTAGTATTTGGCTTGAATTATGTATTTTCCAAAAGGAATCGAGAATAAGGGATGGCTTCCCATATTGTCTAATGCAGATCGAGTGTGAATGCTAGAATTTCAAGAGGTTCGCTCAGCGGTGGGTTAAACAAAGGCTTCCTAGTAAAAGATGCTCACGCCGTTCAAATATTAGAAAATCCCATAAGGTTGGAACACTATAACTATTCCTTGATAATGAGTAGTTAAAAAAGTAGGTGAAGGCGATTTATAACTAACAAAAAAAATAACAAAACAATAAGTTGAACAAAAATGAAGCAATCGATTGATCGATTGCAGATCCCTAAGATAAGATAAAGTAACAATTGAAACCGTAGAATTGAGAGCAATGAGCAACTGGAAAATATGGCAATAGTTATGCAAATAAATAAGTCCGGTTTCGTGTTTAGTTTTAACCTCGGTTCGCTGTCGTTCTTTACTTTAAACAACGGTTCTTTTCAGCGCTTCGTATCTGGAAGAAATATATAAACTGGCCATGCAGGAGTAGCACCGTTTTTCAAATGCTTCACTGACTAGTAATGAATAAAACATTCTGACCCACTCGTCTAAATTTCAAGATATTTTTCTCATCTATTCGCCGATCAAGCGAGGATTTTCCGCACTGTTTAATCTTTTATATGAATTGGTTTTCGATTTGGCTTTAAACCGATTTTGCTTCCGCGAGTGGTAGCTAATAAACCGCCCCAAGTCCAATGTGAAGAAATTTTAATAGAAATCTCAATTATTATCTTATACGTATCAAATATTAATCGAATTATAGCAAAGGATAATTAACGGCGGTAAACCCACTAGAGCTGATACTGAAGTCGTTATTGTACATGACAAATAATAAGGTTCTTGAATGGGATTTATTGATCACGAAGGACAGAAAGGCAATAAACCTCTGAGTTAATATTATTTGCTGCCGCTATTTGATTTGGCACCACAACCATTAATCTATTTGTTGACAATTAATTGACTGAATACACAAGGCAGTGATATTTTCGAAACACCCTGACTTATTAATTTTCAATATAATTCCCTCCTTTTCAAGCTTTGCCGACTTGAGGTTTCACTGTGCAAGTAGTTCATTATTTCGCTTTCAATTTACTTTGTTCTAATGCAAGTCCACGTATTCCCTTAAAATTGAGTTTTTCAATGTATCACGCATTCAATTCACTGGCTTAATGTTTACAGTGAATTGAGTTCGCTAATGTTCACGCTAAAAGGCTCACTGCAAATGGGAAAAATCCAAAATATCCTAGTTGCTAAACAACATAGGGCCTAAAAATTAATCAGGATTAAGTTGTGGCAGGACAAGATAATCTATCCGAACATAATCCTGAGTGGTATTTGCTGTCGTGGCTTATGTCGCAAAATCTGTATTCCTTAAAATTTCATTCCAGGTCGGCCGAATATTCGATCTATTGGTCCGGCTAAAGCGGTTGCTGGAACGGATGCCATGTTACATTGTCCCTATTCTGGATACCCCATTCAATCCGTACGTTGGGAAAGACATGGTCAGGAGCTGCCGCAAGACATGAGGCATCGCTTAGAGGAAGGTACGTTTTAGATTTTTCCTTCTTTTGAGACTTTCCGAGAAGTTGCTAATCTCTTGGACTCTTAATATTCAATTCGACTTCACACTGCCTGGCAGCCAAGAATTTGCTTTAATCGAATATTTTAATGATTGGAAAATTATATCTATTACACGATTGTTGAGTTGTTCGCGCCAAAAAGATGTCTTACTTTCAGGTGGTGCCTTGACAATAATGAAAGTGGACCAAAACACCGATAAAGGTTTTTATACGTGTTACGTAACGAGTAGAGAGGGCCTTGTGGCCAGAAAAGAGATACAGCTTATTGTTAATGCTCCTCCCGTAATGGAGCCATTCAATTTCCCCACTAGCATCCAAGAAGGGGGACGGGCCCAAGTAACTTGTACTGTGACATCTGGAGATTTACCAATACGCTTCTTGTGGTACAAAGATGAGGAACCCATACCCGCGTCTTTAGAAGTGAGTGCTTAAAATGTCCTGCAAGCGAGCCGCAGCAAAATAAAATTTAGAGTAATTGTTTGCAGTTATTTCCTGAGCTTTACAAAGCATTGTAAAACTTTACGGTGGAGAGGAATGTCTCCAAATGACAGAGACACTTTTAAGCGAATCTCTATTGTTTTTCCAGTCTGCGGAAAATTTTATGCCTCTTTTACTTTATCACACACTCAAACTGATCCTCCGTTCAATGGGTTATAAAATAAGTTAACAAAAGACTTTAAAACGAAATGACAAAATAATATACTTAGTATGATGAAGTTCTCGAGTAAACTATAAAATAAATCTCCTAAGTTTATAACTCGATGAACGCTATTTCTAAGGATTGCCTGGAAAACGATCTTTACTACTTTATAACTTTCAATCAAATTTATAATGGGACTTTTCACATACTCGCTTATTATTCTGATGGAACCTATTCACAAACAGTTACACAATAACTTTGATCTATTGCATATAACCGATTCTTTTCTTAGTTTGCCAAAAACTGCAGAAAGTAGAGAAAATTTCAATTGAAAATATATTCTGGAATGGGAGGAAATACTGAAAATTACTCGTTGATTTCAGGTTCAGGAAAGAGCAGCAGAATTCTACAGTATGTTGGTGTTTAAAAATTTGAACTCCAGACATACTGGCACCTACACTTGTGTTGCGAGCAATGCAGCCGCTCAAGTAAATTACACAGCTCAACTTATGGTGAAAGGTACATTCGAGCAAATAATACTGCTTTCATATCACTTTAAGAATTCAACCAAATGCCTTAAATATTTTATTTGAAAACCCATATATAACAACCCCGATAAAATATATTCTGTAAAAATTTTACGATCATATTGGCAGAGGACGTACTTTAAAATCTTTATCTTTTGTCGTTAGTCGCCCCACAATGGACCATCGAGCCGCAAGATATTTCCGCATTGCTGGGAGATTCGGTACTTATGCCATGTTTAGCAAAGGGTTTTCCCGAGCCCACTATATCTTGGCTAAGAGGACATGGTAAGTGCCATTGTTAAATAAATATGTCATTACATAATCAAATATAAATATCAAGCATATAACTTTTGGGATCAGCGCAATATATATTTACTGTTGTTGGTAAGTGGTTCAAAGGTTATGGTGAAGATACCATTGCTTCACAATTTGTGCCGGTATGACACACGTTTTATTTTTGCCCAATTTAATTTTTTCTTGACAATTTTAGCAATTAATATAATAAGTTGCTTAATACCAAAATTATTAAAATTGAAACCCCCTGTGAGACACAGATAACAGATTAATCTGTTACTTCATAATTTATTGGATCATGACGCACATTTTATTGCAGAATGCCAGTGACATTTTTGTCACTTGTGTTTACTCCTGTTGATTCCTGTTAATAAAGTATCAAATTCGAAGAAAGCCATAAATGCAAGGAGCGCACAGTCTAACCGGATATTTTGGCCCATTTTAGACAATTTTGAAATTTATAATTTGTGGATGTAGCTGATGAGCGTCCGAAACCGATCAGTGAAGGGTGTGAAATAGTTTCTATCAATTCTATGTGATTTTTTTTTATCCCATGTCGTCGATAGCTTTTTTCGGTAGGAAATAAAGACTATTTCTATATATATCAATTAAAAAGGATTTTCATCGATTATCGATGTACAATATTCTCTATTTTCAAATCACCAAAAACTGTGTTGCTTGCTGCAAAATAACTGTAGATGAGAAACTGTTTTCTCAAATCTCTTTTGGGGTTTAGAAGCAAATGTAATTTCCTGCGAAACAATTGGAGTATCAGCGTCGCAATAATTTGAATTTTATGCAAACTTGTAGGTAAATCAACGGATTACAGACCGATTTCTGGGGTGCACAGAGTGATCCAGCTGGGAAATGGCTCGCTGTGGTTCGAGGCTGTGACATCTGAAGACGAAGGAAACTATCTTTGCCGAGCTAATAACGGAATTGGGTCTGGACTTGGCAAAGTCATTTACTTTGCAGTTAAAGGTATTTGAAATTGAAATGTTAATTGGGGTGGTTAACGTAATAATTCCACGTAAAAGCCGACATCATTGTTGTAAAATGTGCCGTCAGTAATTAATTATCATTTGAAGAAATAATTTTCTTCACACAAAACATGATAAATTGCATTTGTTATCATATTTCAAATCCCCGTGCATTCATGCCCAAGAATTTTAAAATGTGTGCTACATTCAGCACCAATGCTGTTACCATTGTTTCAGTGGCAGCAGCATACAAATCGCAGCTACTTAGATTAGATTTTAGTTGGAAAAGCAATAATTGTAAATTATGCTTTCCCAAATGCAATTTGTTTTTTAGTTGAAGTTTCTAGAAATATTATTAAATACACTATTAACTGTCAGAGCTTGCTACCACGGGTTTTCATTTTCTTCCCGATTTTTCTTAATTTAGAGAAATCCTTTGTACAAACGCAATTTAAATAACATTTTACATAATTTTCAACAAAACGCATTCATGTACCAACGCTTGTAAATGTGGCTAATACAAATTCATTATTTATTTTTATCTGATGTTAAAAATGCAAATTACTCGACGTTCGGCTTTTGTTTTTCCGCCACATGTAAATCTCTTCCAACTTAAAGATGAGCATTAAAGATGAAAACTCCGAGTCGGTTTTGAAACCGAGCAAACTGAGCTTTAAACTTCGAGATGTTCTGAAAACATGATATATTAATAAGCGCACTGTCTTTCAACATACAAAATAAGACCAAAGTACTAAATTTAGTCGAGAGAGTGATTTATGATGCTGTAAAAGGTAATGAATTCAGTCTCTCTATATGTGCATGCTATTATCCCTTGAAGAACTGAGTGCCGTTTTGTTCGTCTAAGGTGGTGATCCATGAAAGCTGATTGATTTATAACCTTATATCTTTGGGATCCTTTATGTGTTCTAACTTTACGTTTTCTTGGATAAATTATGAATCCTCATACATATTTATATTTCCCAATGAATTCAATGAAATATTGAGTCATGAATTCCCAGTTGTATGACATAAATAATGATAAATTATCTCATTTGTGTTCAATCTTAACTGAAAATCTGATAAATTGACTGCGTTCTTGTTCAGATTGATGACCTTTTTAAGAGCTTTTACCGTAAATAACCAGTCTCAATAGCACATCTGTCTATCCAAAAAATATTTTTTAATCCTGCGCTTAATGTAAAAACTAAGAAGTTGCGGCTAATTTTGCATTGTATTGCTCCCCTTTTGTTTTGTGCGAGTTTCGGTATTGTTTCTTTGCTACTCCTTAATTAGAAAGGAACATCAAAATGCCTGCCTGTTACGCATTTCATCTTAGCTAAGGGCAAAATTGGCATGTTTCATGTCAGGAGCAGTTCTACATACTTTCATTAGCAACATTTCATTCAAATTCGCTGCATTGCTTTCATTAATGTGAAATTTGAACGAAAAATATAATTAAGGGCTAAAAATTCAGTTAAACTTTAACAAAGAGATGCACAAGTTATTGAGCAAATTGATTATTTGTTTGATAACTTACAAGGAAATGTTAATTTTATCATTTTCTGTAGTAAATAAATAAGATGAAAATTTGAAATGCGTTTCTCAAAAAAGACATTCAAACATCCAAGGGACAGTGGCAAAGTTGGCAGGGAACATTTACAAAGAGGCATTTACTAAACAATTTCAATAACCGGGCTGTCATGGAAAGTAGAAACTATATTCATGACACCAAATTTATTTCACAAAGTGATATATGAAACTGCAAAAGGTAATGAATTCTGTCTCTCTATATATGCATGGTATTACCCCCAGAAGGCCTTCGCTCCTTTTTGTTCTTTAAGGCGGTTATTCGAGCAAGCAACTGATTTATCACTTAGCGCCTCGGGAATTCTTTATGGTTTTTTGGCTTTACGTTGTCCTGTAAATATTCACTTTAGTCACATTTTGTCAACATTTATTAAGGCTAAAGTGTCACTGCAGATACAGTTGGCTCAGAAGTTAATAGTTCCGAAGGCCTGCAGGGAACTTGAAAAATGTGCATGCGATAATAGGAAAGTGGAGCTTTACATATTGAAATAGGCCGCTATCTTTTGAAAGTACTAGTTAAAAAAGTGTATGATAAAATCAGTCATAAATGCGTAATATTATCTAAACGGTAGCAATTTTCTTGTGTCGAAATGGTTTTATTCTGCTACCGTAAATACGCAGTAAAATTCTTCTGGTTTGCTAATGATAGGTTTGATATGTTCCAAAATAATCTCTTAGTTTCATAGCCTTTTCCACTAAGAGCATTTATACATTTTTGCGCGAAACAAATTCAATTGGCTGCATTTTAGATGCAGAGGTGTGGAGTGATAAAAGCAAGAAGGTGCATTATCGAATTAGCTACATTATCCCCAGGAAACGCTATTCGCCTTCATCGTTTCAGCCGTTCAAGTATAAATTGATTTATACCCTTATGCTCTCACAGTTCCTTGTATGTTTTCTTTTATACTCCCTTATGACTAAATATAAAACAAATTGCTTATCTGGATATTCCAGTATTACGTCGACCTTATTCATATCGGTATGCTTTAAAGCGCAATTTATCATTTATTGATTCACAGATTAAAAAATCTTCATTTTTCGTTCTTTTCAATTTAACACAGATAGAAGGGCTGTTGTTTAATTCCATTATTTGGCATTGCTGTAATTTATTGGGGCGTGCGGAAATGATGTTTTCCAATTTCAAAGCGCTTTGTTAGTAATTAAATGTTGTTCTAAAGTTATTTGCACAGTTTTGCAACTAGTAATAACCGATGGCTTCAAATGACCCGACATTTTAAAATGCAGCAGCAGTTTTGAAAATTTACACCAATGTTTACGAAATATAGGATTGCAGACAGATGGTCTCGTGTTCATATTGTTGTTTATTGGTCCAATTAGCGAAGCACACACATTTTGCTTTGATATTAGGACAAACATGTGTTCAATCATTTTATGCAGAGTGCAAACTAAGCATATTGGAAAAATATTTTACTGTTGATCGATTTCGACTGAGTCGTTTGGCAATCGAACGCTAAGAGCGCTTAAAATGTTACAATTTTAAAATTTTACCACTCTAATCAGATTTTCACACATTTGACAGAGATCACTTTTTGTCTCGGTCAAACAAAGCGAATAATTTTGTCAGTCCACTGTTCTTACTTGGAAAAGTTGAATAATCTCTCTTTTCCTTTGAGCATTACTTTAAATTGCCGAATAATTAGAAACAAGATATACGTCGAATTAAAATTGGTTACTCCGGTTTCAAGCAATGCAAATATAATTTCAGAACCGGTACGATTCGATATCCCGTATAGAAACGTATCAGTCAAGAGAGGGGAAGAAACAAATTTGCTATGCCACGTGCATGGGGATGATCCAATTGCGGTAAAGTGGATCTTTAACGAAACTTCTTTGGACCTTCATAAATTAAGGTAAGATTTATTCTAATCTAATACTGGCGTCATAATTACCTTCAACTTTTACCCATAAAAAAGTAGCTAAGGCATTTTAAGTTGAGTAATTTACGATGCAATCATGGTTGCAATATTTTTTTAAGTAAAATTCAAAATTTTGTTTAACACTATAATTTTTTCTCTAAGAAACATTTGTGTTTCTATGTGTTCTTAGTGTGTACGTGTTGCGATCAAATCAATTTAATTGTTTCGTTCAAATGAGCAAATAAATTGTTTCACTAATTTGCCATTTTTGCTTGGGTATTGTCGCGAATTGCAGTTTAAAATAACGCGAATTAAAATTGGACGTAAATATGTTTAATTAGTCAAAATACTGACAATTTGATACGAATTCCGTTAATGCTCCAACCTGTTATTCTCGTGATTGAAATTTTCCGATTTTGCTACAAATACATCTTTGAAAACATATTAAGGGGCGCAACTACTCGAATTATGGTGTTTTCTTGAGCAAAATTCTTATTAATTGAAAAACCTTGAGCTCTTTATCGAATAAAATAAAAATTCCCAGATACAAATTGAAAATTTTACATTCACTTACCATTTGAGAAGCTGGGGCAATGATCTGAAAAAAAAAACAAACATTAGAAACAAAATCCCATGTTAATGGCTTGAGTTAACGGATATTGTGACATTATCCCATTAGTTTTACGTCTTTATAATGCATAAATGTAAAATGGGCGTATTGCAGGATCTGACATTTTAACTATTCACCATTATAGAGTGTTCAAAGGACCGTTTTCATTCGGATTACTAAAGTTTGGCAGTTTAAATGGGACGTCTTATCGGCGGCTTTCTTTTCCCCCGATGTTTTCATCAATTTCATTCGTGAAAACCCCATTTCAGGTTTTCGCACGTTAGCTTGAAGGAAGAAAAGGAACTGAAGTCGCAGTTAACCATTAGTAAGACTGATAGAGAAGACTCGGGTACGTACAAGTGCCTAGCAGAGAACGATTTTGGCCAGAGCGAGTATGTCGTCAATCTTGTCGTTCAGGAAAAACCAGATCCGCCTTCTGGTTTAGAGGCGGTGGAGGTAAAATTCAATTTTAAACTTTCTGTTTCGCATTCACCTCGTAGCCATATGTCTTCTTTAAACACTGTAATTTTGCTATAAACATGTAAATTTGAACGACTTCGGTAAAAATATTATTTCGTTGGCATAAATTAAATAGTGGAGAAGGATGCTCTAATAATCACAGAAATAACTGGGCAGGCTATGGGAAGAGCGGTGAAATTATCATGGATAAAACCATTTGATGGAAACAGTCCACTAATTGGCTACATCGTACAGTATAAGATGCTCGGCCTCCATTCCACTTGGGAAGAAAGTCAAATATTGAATCTGACGAGTTCTGCAGCAGCGCGCCCAGAGTAAGTCAGGAACTTGTATGAAAAACTTATTGCAAACCAGGAAATCTGTTTGGCAGACGATCAGTGGAACAAGCAGTGCTAAGAGGACTGAAACCAGCAACAGTTTACACCATCAGAATATCTGCTGTCAATGGTCTGGATAAGAGTGACTTTACTGAAACTATAGTAATAAAAACTCAAGAAGAGAAACCTAGAGGAGCTCCAACCGACGTGAAAGTAGAAGCAGTTAGCTCTACGGAACTATCTGTTCAGTGGTCGCCTCCTTCGCGAAGTTCCTGGAATGGCGAACTGCTGGGCTACAAAATCAACTGGAAAGAGCACCATGGTTTCATCAACCAGACAAAAAACGACACTGTCCACGGATGGGCTACCACCAAATTTATTCTCTCTGGCTTAAAGAAATTTACCACTTATGATATCCTGATCAAAGCTTTCAACAGAATGGGCTCCGGTCCGCCTTCACCGAACATCATCGGAACAACCAAAGAAGGCATTCCAGAGGCGCCACCTCAGAATTTAATGTGCTCAGAAATTACCTCTCAAATGATGAAAATTTCTTGGACCACACCACCGCAACATCTACATGGGGGATTGATTCAAGGATACAAGATATTTTATAAACCTATGGAAGTACGCCACCATATTCTAGGTAATTACTAAGGCCGATCGAACTAAGCTAACAATTCAGGGATTATTTAAACTATGCAATAAGCTTTTTCAGATGCTTCCATGAAAACCGAAGTCAAGCGAACTCACTCCACTAACACTTATATTCATGGACTTCAAAAGTTCACCAATTATTCCATCAAGGTTCTGGCTTTTACCAGTGCAGGTGATGGAGTAGTCAGTGATGTACTCCTTTGTAGCACTGAAGAAGATGGTTAGTAGTGGTTCCTATATTGCAAATTTGAAGGTCGTGTTGAAGAAAATAAGGCCCTAAAATCGCCAATTTGGTCAGAGTCCACGATTTAAGTTAAAAAATGCAGCACCAAACACTAGAATTTTTTCTGGATTTTTTTGGCCAAGACTATTTGGTTCTCTTTTTAAAGTGTAGATATGGGGCTAAATTTAATTCTTAAAAACAGTTATTGAAAAGAATCTTCAGAGATTTTAACCTGAAAATGTAATTGAAACAAAACGATGCCTTGTGACATCAAGTATTCGCCATCCACGTTCTTCAGTGGTTGATTTCATGGCAAAAATCATTAATCCTTTGGAACTCGAATCGTCTTTCAACCAGACAGACTTTTTAGGACTCGGAGTCTCAAAGGCGATCTTTCAGCAAGAAAAACAATTCGCCAGCTTGTTATATATTGGAAGACAACTTATTGCCACTTTTACTGAAATCGAATCAGATGGTTTCTTCCCAATAAAAAAAGTTACGTTAAAATATACTTTTTCGTTGACCGATGGATTAATCCCGTCCCTTAAGAACACAAGAAAACAAAAGTGTTTTTCTTGAAATGTGACAACAACAGAGCCAGGAAGGTCGATTTGATGGCCTAAATCCTTTTACCTAATTAATTTCTTACTTGTGATGAAATATTGTGGTTTCAAGTTAATGGAATTTTCTAGTTTAATTATCAGAAGATCAACACGTTATTACGGTTTCAATGTGAGACAAACCGTCGAGTAAATATTTAGATTTAATTGTTTTCTATTTTTCTAGATATATTCCGAGTGTAACATTCAAAAACTGTTAATCTTTGAGAGTTTCACATAAACTACAGAACTGAAAGAATTGCAAGAATTTCTTCTCTTATGAAACGGAAATTGACTTTATATTTCCACGTCTTTACTGGAATGTCTAAAAGCAATTGGGATTTTGTGAATGTACGGATATTCGGAGGTCTAGTTTTATTTTCGGATGGAGGGCACTCTTATTATTAAAGGAAATATTTTCAGGATTTCAACCATTCCAGTTTATGATTCAAACTATTGAACATACGGTCATACTTCAGTTGTGAATAGCGAAAAAGCCAACGGCTATATTTAGTGGCAGTGATAGCATAGCTTATGTTATTGATTTCCGTTCTTCGCTAATATGTATAAGTAAAAAATACTATAAATTTTTGCAGTTCCAGGAAAACCAGCCAATATCAAAGCAAACGCCCTAACAGGAGAGTCGATTTTAGTTTCCTGGCTTCCACCATTGAAACGGAATGGACTTATCACACTTTACACCATATATTGTCGGGAAGCCGGTCGTGTAGGCCAACACAAAATCTACAATATTCGCATTGAAGCTATCAATGAGGATTTTGGACTATTTTATGAAGTGCGAAATTTAACCGAACATCAACTGTATGAATTCTGGGTAAGTTGGTCAAGTACCTTAAAAACTGAACTTTCCACTATTTGCAAACTCAACCTTATAAAAAAATTCATCTTTGAAAAATTAGTTTTTGCCATATGAAATGCATTAAGTATGCCTAAAACTCGAAAATTAAAACATTTCCTTCATATTTTACCATTTGCTTACAAGTACATATAGCAGAAGTACTCCGAAAATACGCAAAATTTCCTCTCTGCCGGAAAATGGAAAGAGAAGAAAAACTGGGATGCTTCATCAAGCAATTATTGGAAAATTAATTTTGTAATAACAAGCGTTTAAAGTGCCTATCAACCAAAATTAAATTTGATCAGTTTATCATTATTACTATGTAGATCATAAACGCATACTGAGCGCTTAATGCATCAAACAGGTAACTGACAGCTTTGGAAAACATAATATTGCTATAGTTGTTCGTATCAGAATTTGTAAGTCAATCGATAACATATTCGACCAATAACAACAAAGGTTTTGTTCAGAGTACCTGAACTGTTGCTTGCGGCTTTGTTTGTTAAGCATAATAGGAACGATTTTCCATCATTTTCCCGTTGTTTATTTTAGAAACAATCTATTATATGTATAGATAAAGATATATCTATATCTTGTTACTGTATTAGCAATACGGCGAAATATTTCCTTCATAAAGTTTCTATTCGATAAAGCAATACTACCAACGATTAATAACAGAATAGCAGTGGCCGGAAGATAATTCAAAATTTGCGCATTGAAACAGAGTGCAACATATAGGGGTTGTGTTTCCTGCCTCAGATATAATGAGGTCAAAACTTGCTCTATATCGACTAGCTCTAAATAACTACTGTGGAAACAAATCTGTAGGTAATCGCCTTTATTACGAGATTGGATTCCAATTTGTTGCACTTCTAAATAAAAAAAAAACTTGACATAAAAAATTCAAGATTTACTAGTATAATGTATTCGTCTCTTAAAGATGAATGAAATAAGTATATAAAATCGAATTCTACTATTCAGTTCTTAAATTGCTTTATTGCCAACAAAAAAATATTTCAATTGGCTTAAACCACATTTGCATGTAGCTCCAATACATGTATCAAATTAAACATCAAGCAGAAAGTGAACAAACCTATTTTTTTAAATTACATGATGAATTTCAACGAAAAAACGTAGTACATACTCATAAATATACATCGATATCGCATCGAACATAACGAGTTAATAAAGATATTTGCCTCCAAACAGGACACATGTTTTTCCAATAGATGAAATATTAAGCGAATTTCGTTCTCGCACTGACCTAAAAATATCTGACAAATTTATGGAAGACATACATCGTAAACTGAAACATCGCATATTTTATTATCTGCATTTCATATGTATTTCCTTAAAAGTGAGAATAATGAGATACAACTGCTGTTATTCTGAACATTCTGTTCAAGGTTTCCAGAAGCAGGAAAATGAAAACACTGTGCTGCCGATTGCATTCATTTAAAATTTCTTAGTTTAAATATTTTCTAGAATCGCAAAATGCTGGAACAAGAATCGCACTAGAACGGATTTCCAGACAGAAATATTAGGTTTGCTTTTATGGCCGCAAAGCTTTCTAGTTTAACGACGTTGAATATAGAAGAAAGGATACTTTTTAACCGAAAATAAAATGTATTTCACGTTCAACGCTACATCGAAAAATCTACTTTTAAAACTGATAAATTTTTTAGATTGATTTTGGTTGAAGTTTAGTTTAAAAAACGTAACGTTCTGAATATTTGTGTAACATTTTAGTTGCATTTGATTTATTTTATTCAGAAATTAGATGCAGGCGTTTACGACAATAATTGGCTTGGTGATTTTCAAAAAGTTAGCAAAATTAATAAATCATTTTTAATCTGTTTCATAAAACATCAATTTACATTTTAGCCACCCAAGACTTTACTTAGCAGTTTTTAATTTGACTTTTACATTAACAAAATTATTTAAGAAACTTTTGCGGCTATTGCTTGCAGCTGGTGAGTTTTTAGATCTTTTGAACAACTTCTTCCTGATGTTTTGCATCGTGCTTGCGAAACTGATCAGTTCCAATAAAAAAAAATAGATCCCTCAACTTTTGCAGCTTTCTTAAATAATTATTCTCTATCGGCTCTAACGTGGCACAGGTGAACATCTTCAGACAAATCTCGACTCTTTTTTTAATCCTCAACGAAAAATCTAGTAGAACAGCCGAAATACTCAAAATACAGCCTCTTTAGAACAGAAAAGTTCTACGGCTTAGATTCAATTTTTTTCCGAAATCAACTTAATAAAGTTCCATTTGCACTGAAAGCAGTTGCTATTTTGGAATTAAAACGAAAATTGATTTTCAGGTTTCTGCAACTACAAAAGTTGGCGAAGGAGAATCGACCGCAATAACGGCTCAGCAAACGAATTCTCGAGCGCCATCTAAGATTGCGTCTTTCAGCCAGACATTGCATCAACCGAACAAATCTAGAATGATGCTACCTTGCATAGCAGTCGGAAATCCTAAGCCTAGAACTAGATGGACGCATCAGAACAAGCCTATCACTTTCAGCAACTTCTATGCAGTTACTGTAGATGGACATCTACATATTCACGGTAAGTTTTCTATTGAAATTGATCGCATTCTGTTTCATTCATTATCAAAATTCTATGCGCCAAAAGCCGCGAATAAATATATAGTTTGCCAATTAAATGTTAGAATTAGTGCGAAAATGTGATTTATGGCTGCACATCCATGCTCTATTGCCTCATATTTTGATTGCTATATGAATTCATAAAACATTCATTAGCAATTAATTTTATTATTTTTCACACGATTTAATCCTTGCTCGATTTATTTAAATAACAACAGAAATGTTTTTGAATGGATCGACATTTCAAGCTGTGAATAGTTTGAGCGTACTAAATGTGTCTTAATAAACTTATTATTTTTAGTTTTCTGTTGTAAGGGCATCTATCTTGGTTAAAATGTTACAAACGTCTGCCTAACTTCGGGGAATATTGCAAAGATTCAAATAAATAAAATAATTTCTAATTATTATCGTAAAATTTGTTTGAGTTAAATCAGATCGGAAAATAACCAATAAACGGTTTCCTCAAAAATAGCAGATTTATTCATTCAAATGCGTCCTGTTGTATCAGGAATTCTTGAAACAAGCTGAAAATAAAACCAAAGCATTCAATCAATATTCAAAAGCCTACATAAGGCAAAATTGGCATAAATTCTGTAGCAAGAAGACGGTACCATAAATAAAGTTCCCTGAAGTAAAGCGAGGCCCTGTTGTAAGATCTCAAACCGTATTAGACCATAAATTTCAGAAGCGCCTATCGGAAAATCTATAAGCAAGCTCACAATAAATTTGTCAAGTTACAAGTACTTTGTGTTGTAAAAAAGAAACATGAACTTGCCTGCATAATTTTAAAACGCATTCCGACCTGTTCCTTTCGCAAGAGAATTTACGTTTTTAATGATAAGGTTTCTGATAGGAAAGAAGTCTGCGCCTGTTTGCAAGAATAGAGGATTGAAACAAAAGTAAATGGGCTTTGTATGTAAACAGGATAGATTTGAATCGAAATGGCTTTTGGACTTATATGGACTTAGATCCGATTTATGACTTGAATTAATTACTTAATTTTTCGAGACGTTTTTATAAAGAAGGTCGTCTGACGCCAATTTTAAATCATATGTAAATTATATTCCATAAATAAGCAAATCCGAAATCCTACTTATTATAGTAATAATTTATGTTTATTTATGTATAAACAAATAATGTTAAAGCGTTTTAATGTTTCACTTGTAAGTTATTTATGAGCCTGTTTGCGATACGGGGTTGCTTCAATTATTGATGTTTTTCCTGCCGAATATCGTTGCCGATTGCTAAATCTGCACTACTTCGCAATTACATCAATTATTAAGAATCGATCAGTAACTGGTTGATTGGTAATTAGGCCATCGATATTAAGTTATTAAATAATGCAACATTTATGTTGCATCACCGTTTAATTACTTTCATCAACTAATCATCAGTCAATAAAATAATGCTAGAAATTATAATTAATTATAGCAAGACTCTATGTTAATGGTGTAACTAATCTACATTGATTTATTAAAAATTGAAAGTACTAAAAAATTTTCTAGATGTCGATTTGTCTATGACTGGAAACTACACATGCAAGGCAGTGAATCTGTTCGGAGAAGATTCGATTACCTACAGTTTAATTGTGCTGATGCCTCCAACAGCACCAAAAGTGAAAATCGAATACACCACCACTAACAGTATCAAAATTAAATGGACTAAACCTGACAGTGGGGGATCTGAAATTGAAGGTAAAATGCAACTTCCTTATTAAAGATGTATTTTAATTTGCTAGAACACTTGGCATATTTTAGTTTTGATTGCCTTTGACTCAAAGAAGTTTCTATTTCTTTTTACCGACAAACCTTTCGAAAAAATATATGCGAAAAAGTGAATCAAAGCGGTTTAAAAAATTTCGCAACAGACAACCTTATTTCCATTTTTCTTTGTAATTTTCCGTGCGTGAGGTAGGGTGCCGAAACAAAATATTGTCTGTTCTCATAGCGGGTTTGAGACAACTTTTTCGAAAATATAAGGAATTTTAATCCAGTCGCAAATCTGCTTTCAAAGAAAACAGGAACCAAATCTAAAGGAAATGTTGCTCGGAAAATAGATCTAATTAATTAGAGCACAAATAACAAAAAAATCTGCAAATTTAAATACATGTTCATAATAAATAAAAATTACTAATAAAAATGGATTTTAAAAGCGGTGATCAAGGCTTTTACATAGAAGCCAAGATTTACTTGTTATAAGTTGAATATAAATTTTTTTTCGCTCTGACATGGATATGTCGATTTAAAGAATTGATATGTTCAAATTAAGACCAGAGCAGTAAGGATATACGTTTCGACCTTGCCTGGAGGGATTGCAGACAAAATTTGAAAGCGACTGCTTGAACCTTGCAAATGAGTTTTTTTATATTTATGTAGCGTTAATGTTCCGTCTGGTTCATTGTTTAATTTAGTTGATTCTAAAGATCTACATTTAAGCATGCAATTTAATTTCATTGAGTAGAGATCGATTGATCGACATTGGCAGACCACTCAGGCGAGACTATAATTGGAAAAATTAAGCATCAAACTCATCAAAATTTTCTATGTTAATTGATTTGTAACGTGTAATGTTCCCATATAAGCAAGACATTATTTTCATCCGCATATATCAGTTTATGTTTAGAGAAATTTTAAATTATCAGCGTAGTTAAATGAAATTAAAGTTAACATTTGCAAAAGTTAAGATATTATTGGAAGATAATATTGGAACTAAGAAGGTTTTAAACAAGCATTTGGGATGAGGTTTGACATTAAGAAAGCTATTACTGTTGAACCACCTAAATTATTAAAAAGTAAAAGTCTAAGTAGAACGTAAAAAACTAGAATAGTAGATTATTTTTGCTGTTTTACCGCATCGAAATTGATTTAACTTTTCTTATGGCAACCAATCCGAAAAAGTATAATCGATAATAATTTGCATAAACGACAACAATATCTAAATTATTTCCAACAATTTCGCTCTTGCTATTGGTCAAGACTAGAAATATTATATAATTTTATCGTCCAGCAATGCGGTATATACCATAAACGTAAAAAAAAACAACTAATAAAATAGCTATTAAACTCCGAGATATACTTGCAGGATGTCATTGGAAACAATTACCTGCTAATTATTAGTCAACTACCGAAATTGTTCAAAATAAATCATAATTAATTACCATTTCATTAGGTCTGGTGAATTTACATTATTTAATTGATTTTTAACAACCGGATAAATCCAAAGTGGTTTCTCCTCCGCTTAGGAAACATTACGTATGTACGTTGTAAAAGATTTAGTATCGTCATGATAAAAACAAGGATACGTTTTAAAATAGGCAAACTTAATTTATGAAAACCATAACAATAACTAAGTGTATTTTTAAGGCATTAACAACATTAATGAAAAAAACTATTTATATATTCGTAGACCTTCTCAAGTAGCTCTCCGTTGTTTGCCTACTAAAATTTTAATTGCGACTTAATTGCGAAATTGATCACCGTTTAAATTTATCCGTCTAACTTTATTTTAAATTTAACTCTCAGTGGAAAATKTGATTTTGACCGGAATCGAACGGAACCTACAATCCGACTKTAAATTATGCAGTCATTGATTTTGTATAATAAATAATTTAAATTAGGAACATCCATTTCTGCCTTTGTCGGTTTTAAATTATTGGAAATTTCTGAGTTTTCCCATATATTTAAACTTATGATCTAAAATATTGCTTTATACGTACGTCTGGATTTTTAATTCATCATCAAATTAAAATATCTGTATATAGCAATCTGTGTCAATTCGAAGACTTTTAGTTTCAAACTGTTCTCAAACATTTGAGAAATCGCGAAAAATAAAATTGAGAAGCACACCGATTCAAGAGAAAAAGCTAAACTTAACTAAGACTGACATAGACAAAGTGAAACAACACATACATAACTACATACAATCGCAAGTACAGACCA